GATCGGGAGGGGAGCGGGCGACCGGAGCGTGCTCCTTGACCCCAGCGGCTGTCCCCGCCCGCGCGCCCGCGCGCCTCCCCTCGCCCCTCGCTCTCCTCCTCCGCTGGGATCGCGGCTGCTCGGGTCCCCCCGTCCCCGCCCTCCGCGCCCCCGCCCAGCGCGCGGCGGGACCTCGGGGTCGCAGGTTCTGGCCCGCGCGCCCCCGTGGCTCGGGATGGGCGGCCCGCACCCAGGGCGCTGAGGCTCGGCGACCGCGCGCCCGGAGAGGTAACCGGGGGCACAAAGCGGGGGCGGCGCGGCCAGGCGGCGGGGACCCGGCCGTCGCGCGACTCGCGGGTTCCGGGAGGGCGGGTCGTGCGCCCGAGCGCGGATCCTGTTCGGAGCTGCTCCCTCCCTCCTGCCCTACCCCCTCCCCGGCCTCGGCGCCCCGACCCGGGGTCCCCACCTCCGGCTGTCGCCTCGGGGCCGGGCGGGGACCGGGTCGGGGTCGCGCGTGCCCCGGCCCGGCCTAGGCCAGTGCATTGTGTCTCGGCGGCCCGGTGCGGCAGCCTCCGAGGCTCGCGCAGCTTTGTGCTCGGGCTGCGCCCGCGGCCACCGGGCCACCGGCGGGCTCCTGCCTCCTATCCGGGTCCCCGCCGGGCTCCTGCCTCCTATCCGGGTCCCCGCCGGGCTCCTCCTCCCCGCGCCCAGCCACGCTGCCCGGGCTGTGCGCGCGGCGACCCGGCGACCCGGCAAAGTCGCGGCGGCCGGACTTAGGGGCCGCCACGGAACGGTGCTGTCCGTGCGGCGCGGGGCTGGGGCCGCGCGGCCTAGGAGGTGCGGGGCGCACACGATCCCTCTTCCCCGCGCGCCCCATCCGGTCCGAACGCGGGTCCAGAGGCGCGCGATTGATGTGTGCTGCACACCCTCGAGCTCAAGCAGGTCGGGGTGGAAAGCTCAGAACTTTAAGTGGAAGGAGAGCTCGGCAGAGGGCGGAGGGCCTGCCCCGCGCCCCGCCGCCCGCCCGGCTCTGCTTGCTCGGCCCCTCCGCGGTCCGGGTGGCCGCGAGCGGGGCCGGGGTCCAGCCCACGCCCTCCGAGGCCGGGGCGGGAGCGCACAGGCCCCGCGGACCCCGGCTGGGCGGCAGCGGCGGGGC